AAAATACTTTGGTTTTCATTTAATTTCTAAAGTTTAAACTTGTTATAATTCAACTTGATATGCATGAAAACAAATGCGAACGGTAAATAACGTTTGTTTGCGTTCAATCCTTGATTTTTTTTTTTACTGTTTCAATCCTGCAAAGCCATGAAATGTGCATTCGCCTCTAATATCGATACCTGGCTTCCTTCCGCTGCAAAACTTTTCCAAATGAAAATCCCAATTGGTTTTAATAGTTCGCATTTATTTACGAAGTTCTCGCATAAAGTGAACGTACACACGCTCACCTATGTGCGCAAACATAGGAAATCTGCAAACTTCCAAGCAAACAGAATCCATCAAAGGATTTGCAGCTTTCCGTCTACGAATTACACATACAGAAAGCGAATTACAGTCAAACGAATATTGTATCGTTTAATTGAATTTGGAAGTGAATTATTTGTAACTATTAGACAATTTAGTATTAATTGGCTTATTAATTTTTGGTAATTGAACCAAATTCTATAAATTAAATATATAATTCATAAAATCACAGAAACAAAATAAATTTTAGTCAATATTTTACATAAGTTTTAGATTTTAAGAAAGTTTTACAGATAAATTTATTCGTTACTAAATAGTAACGAAGTAAATTGTTGAATCAAATTATAGTTAAATATTCAATCAATTTCATAATTATTTTAATAAATTTAATCGAAAAAATCTTTGATATGAATTGAAAAGTTTGTTTTGTAAAAACAAGATTTGTGTTGAAATAATTACAATTTTTGTTTAGTTGGAATTATCGATTTTTTTTATGTGTAAATTGTATTTTTTATATGCATAATCTACTATGTTGTTACATAAATTAAAGTAGTGGTGATAATGGTTTGCAGCTGTAATCGAAACCGATAAATGTTGATGGTATAAAAAGAAGGGACGGTTCGAAGGGAATAGCAATTTGTGCTTCGTTCTACAGGAAATATAGAATGTGTAAAGTTAAGCTTAAGTGGTTATTGTACGTACGATGATGGCCCGTCCGAAACCATGTCGCCCTGGGATTTTATGCCACCGTAAAACGTTGATTTCGAACTGGATGCAGTAGTATTCCCATTCTCATCCACATCCATTACATTCCATGCACATCAGTTTTATTACCGCACCAATTTGCATTCTCGTCCACACATCAAATAACCGGCGCATCGTACAAGAAAAAAACAACTTTCATCCGGATTTGCCCGAGAAACCAATGTAGTAAACCATAAAGATTTCCAGTAGGAAGGAAGCGCCCGTTTCGCAAGCGAAAATATAATGTAAATTGTATATTTTTTTTTTAGAAAAAGACGCCGGGTCCGACTTTTACAGCATTTCCAAACGCGAATTGCATCGTGAATATAGAATGAAAAAGTCGTGGATTAAGAAACATAATTCAGTATACAATTTTCATGAATGTCACTTTTACTACGTCTACAACTTTGATATACAATTTTACTAGTTTAATCATTGTAAAACTTAAAGAAAAAGTATTTATTTTTACTGAAATAATTTTTATCATTTTTATTAACAACAAATTTAACAACTTTTTAAAAGTTCATTTTAAACATAATTTAATTTATTTTGTGTGAGTTATTTCAAGATTTAATCGTTCTTTGCAAAAGTTTCTTATATTTGTTACTGATTTGCATAAATTTAAGTAACTTTTAATTTTCACTTTACTGCATTTTAGGAAATGAACTTGATCCAATCCGTTTTTAAATCTATATTTTAATTTCTTCTCACCTCATTTTGCTTGTACGTATTTTTTCTATTTTCAACCCGTCTTTAAAATGTAAATCTGTGTCTAATTGTATATTCAACAAAAAAAAAGTCAAATTTTGATCTTATATTACTCAAAAAAAGGCACGTTTTTAAAGATTGGTCATCCATCTTTAAAATCAGTCAAAAATGTACTTTGTATCATTTAAGGTGGCCTAGGAATTTAATGTTTTTGATCGTCTATTCTGGAGTGTTCCGAAGGGTTATAAAGCTAAAAGAAGGGCGCATTAGAAAACTTGGACTTTTGTCTTTAAAATGAGTTCAAAAGGTACTTTGTGTCTTTTTGTGCGGCCGAGGAATGCACTTTTCCAAATCCGTCTTTAAATTTACAATTTAATTTCCTCTCACCTCCATTTTTTCTTGTACCTTTTCATTATTTTATTTTCAACGTTTCGTTTCGCATCGATACGTTTCCACTCCGTTTTAAACCCTAATCAAATTATCGATCGTATTCTTCTCCTCTCTTTCACACAAAATATTCCGATGTATCAATTGATGGGTCTTCGAGGAGAAAGTCTGCAACCGGAATAATAATAGGATTTTCTTCCTACACGTCTCCTTTTTTTTTGTATTCCTCCAAGGTAAAACCGAAGCGTGTAAAGCGTGCGAAATGTGATTGATTTTTTCTTCTCACTCCATCCCTACGCGCCGATAAAATTTTCGAGGTTCGTCACTTGCGTCCTTAATGGTCCCTAATCGACGTTTTCGGATAATCCAAATCCGCAAAGTTTCACAATGGATATTTTTTTTTTAGTTTATTCGTGCTTGGATTATGGTTTACAACAGTAGAATGAATTAGTTTGATTTATCAATTAGTGTTGGTTGTGGATTGGTTTGTTTCTTTCCTTTATGTGGAGACTCACGCTCCGTGAATCCAATTATTATTGCAGCATAAGCAATTTATATATATATATAATATGTTGTATATCTCGTGCGGATTAATTAACCGTGCACGATAATCATCCGATATTGGTGATACGTGCTCCAATATAATCGATGATTATCCAAACACTGTTATTACGTAGATTCTATCACGATGCAATTAGTTTTACGCATACTAAATTTTAATTAAAAATTTATTCAACTTCAACATTTAATTTTATTACCTTAGATTGAAAATTCTTCCCTTTAAAAAAAAGAAATATTGTAAATTATTGTTTTAAGTAATTGCTCATTGAAAACTATAAGAATTGTTGCCTGTTGATTCTCTTGAAATTGAATGAAATTTTTATTTAAACGTATAGAACAGAAAATATAAATAAAATTAAAAACGTTTATGAAAATCATAATAAAATTTGTTGCAAATTACATAAAATAAACTTGAATTTAGAAAAATTCAGGTTTCCAAAGGTTAATTGCAATTTTATACAACGGAAATGAAAAAATCAATTTTATATTTAATATGGAAATAATGAAACAAATTTTAATATTACAGTAAAAATCTAAAAATTATGAAGAATTGGAATGTTGTTTTTAATATGAGATAAAATTTAATTCACATAAAAGTGATGAAAAAAGAAGCAAATGCAGGAAAGTACGAACAATTAATATAAAATCACCTTATTCGGTTACAAAAACGCGTCGCGATGAATCATCTGCAGGTGTGCACGTTTCAAAAATCCTTAAATGGACACGAAAATAGTGCGTATTGCACACCTGCACAATAGATAACAAAGTAATTAAACTTACGAACTATTACACGAAAACGCCCGAACTATTACACGACGAATCAGCTTACGCATTTTAATGCAGGTGTGCCAATCGGTAGCGTTATAATAATCCTTATATGGTTATGAAAACGTGCGACACCGGCGAAACAATGAATCACAGCTGCAACTGCTAAAAAATCCATATAATATTTTAATATAGTTTTTTCTTATTTTTACAAAGTTTATACTATTTATTTTTTTGTAATTTTGTCATTGATTTATTGATTTTTGAAATTGCAAAATAATCGTTCCAACAATGCAAATAAAAACTATTCAATAATTTCATAGTAGATAAGAATTTAATAAAAATTAGCTAATACTGCATAATAGATAAGAAGGAGATTTAACAATTGTTTGTAATTGGGTGGATACGCCGGGTTCTTCGCTTACTTTTGATTATGTAAATCAGTGGTTCCCCAAACATTCAGCTTTCATATGCATCTTTTGGATTCATTCTATCTATTATGGTTTTCGAGTAAATCAATGAAATGTGAAAACACTGCTTTTACGATCATTTTTTAAACTTTGAACACGAATTACAGCA